GTTATTATAAAAACTGAATGTATTGCAAAACGCTGAATTTGAATGGCTTTTAGGGAGCTGGAAAAAGCAGAACCATTTACGAGAAAAATTCACGAAGACGAGCTGTGGTTGTACAGAAATCCGAGAACAGACTCTTTCGTTCCAACTACAGTATTATGGGTACACATATATTTATTAGAAAGATTTCAATAAATAGGAGTCTCAATAAAATTAATAGAAATTTTAAGTAGAATATTATCTTGTAAATATAAAATATGTTAAATAAAATACTCTGTTCTGTTTCAGCCTCTTGTGTTTATGATGCCGATCGTTGTTATTTGCTTCTTTTTCATAATACACAAAGATAAAGTCGATCTTAAGCAGTCAGTATTGTCTGTAACATTAGCCTTAGGATTTAATGGTCTTATTACAGACATTTTGAAACTTATAGTAGGTACGTTGTAATGCCGAAAAGTTTGAGTGCAACTGACTTGCATCAAATCAATAAAAAAAAAAATTTGCAGTTTTAATAAAGTTGACAGTTATTCATATGTAACAGATGATATTATATTCACCGTCTATATATTTCCATTATCATTTTTAGGTCGTCCAAGGCCAGATTTCTTCTGGCGGTGTTTTCCAGACGGACAGATGAATCCGGGATTTAAATGCACTGGGGATCCAGTCGTTGTTAGAGACGGAAAGAAGTCATTCCCAAGCGGACATTCCTCGTGTATGTCAATGTTACGTTGTTATAACATTAGCAGATGCAGATATTTCTTATACATGGATAAGTGTATCTGTCTTTAATATATCTTAATAATTATTATATGTAATTTTAGTATAATATTAGTATATCTCTTGCACAGATGCGTTGGTTGATTTGATAAAGAAATCATACAGAAAAAATAACACGTTTCTGTTTGTATAATATATATATATATATATATATATATATATTTATAGAAATAATTTTCATTTTAGTTGCGTTCGCCAGTTTCGGCTTCATCGCCTTGTATCTAGCCGGAAAGTTACACACATTCAGCCTGGCGGGAAAAGGACAATCGTGGAGACTGTGCACGTTCCTTTTGCCGCTTTGCATCGCCCTCACTGTCGCGTTAAGCAGAACGTGCGACTATCACCATCACTGGCAAGGTAAGCTTTGCGTCTGATTGTTAAAGTGTTATGATATCGTTACAATTTTACATTAATTACAATCTGACTACGGAATTCGTTTCAGACGTGGTGATAGGATCGGTAATAGGCTACTGCTTAACGTACGTCTGCTACAGACATTATTATCCTCCGTTAGATTCGCCATATTGCGACAAGCCGTACGTCGCGTTACAAGTTCAGTCAGACACTGTCAAATCTAACAAAAACGAGCAAATTAAGTGGATATAAAGGATTATTGTAGCGCCAGGATTATATTTTAAAGAGTACTTAACACTTTTGTTAAAATCTTTGAGATTTGTATATTTTGTGTACTAATATATACCTCTGAATAAATATATGTCTATATACAGCGAATTCGGATATATTAGAATTTATATGTATTATAGATCTGTTCCTTTTAATCATATTATTTATGCTTTTTTTTTTAGATTTTTTCTGCTCAATTCGACATTACTAATTGTAAGAATTACTGAAGATATGAAAGCACAATTACAAGGATAGGATTTATTAAACTCCAGCTAATCTAAGAATTTAAGAAAGTGATAATAACATGTGATATTTTTAGAATATAAATGATTCTAACATCAACTCGACTTTTTTGTTATTTATTCTAACATTCTATTCATGGAATTTTAAATTAATTTTGGTCTCTAGAAAAAAAATTATTCTTAAACTCAATAAAATTAAAATCAAAATAATTTTAAAATTTTTATCTTTTTTATCACTATGATAGGCATAGAGCAATTGTAAAAATAACAGTATGTTTAATTGAGTTATTATATTTGAGTTTTTGAAATGTCGAGTTAAATATATAGCACTTATATATGCACTGTTATATGCAAAAGATAAGCATAGACATAACACAAAATATTGCTGAATCACTCATGTTAGAAATAGAGTAAATACATGAACCTTTTTTTCTGTATATTTATGTTTAATGTAAGAATCATATAATTATTTAATCTAATAATGTTTATTTTTTGTATAATTTATGTTATTTTGTCTTTATCTCAGTTATAGTATTTTATCTTGAGAAAATTTTCAGATGCATTATAGCGCTCATTGTTTTTCAAAATTTTTAGCTACATTTCTTGTAGCGTCTTTTAATTCTTTGTGCAGTATTTATATATCTTCTACACTTAAAACTCTTAAGATAAAGAAGCCAGATATAGAATATGTAACAAAATATCCTGACAAAATGTGAGTTCTTTTATTAGATCTTTTTAGATCTTTTACTATTAATATGTTTAAATATTGGAGAGAGAGAGAGATCAAAGCATAAAAAATTCAATACAAAAAACGAATCTACAATTTTTTTCTTCTAAATGCAAAATATGCATCATAGTGCAGCTTTCGTTTGCCGTTGAAAGGAGTAATCCAATAAATTTGTTTCAAATTTGAAATTAGACAATTCGATCAATTATAATGCAAACAAACGATCACTATGCAATGTGACTTTTATTGAATTAACATCTACAAGGAATACCTTTAGTATAATTAAAGATTATAATAATTTTATAGAAATTCGCATGCGACTGTTTGAAAAATTTAATTCATAATATAATACAAATTTATTATTATCATTATCCTAATAGTTGACATGTACATATATTATTTTATATTTAGAATAATTCAATTATAACTTAAAACTATATTTTATTGTTATCATCCGGGTTGAATTTATTGATTATTTGTAGAAATGACAACATGGAAAAAATATAGTTCGCAGTGATATTATATTTAACATGGTGTCAAATCAAAATATGCATTTTTAATTATGAAACATATGTATAATAACAAATCATGAATTTTTAGCGTCAAAAGCTATATAATTAGTCAGATATTTATGTCGGCAATTGAAAAATTGATAGTCGATATTTTTCAATTAATTCTAATCGTCGCCGAAGTCCCACAGGTACTTATAGCCTCGCGACAATTTGATGAGTATTTCAAGCGACTTCATTTTTAACAGCATCTCGTCGGTGATCCGTCTTCGCGCGCGCGCGCGCGCCAGGAATCTCACAGGAGGAGCGCGGACCCATTCGAAACGGGCGCTCCGTCGCGCGCGCCGGCCGCCATTTTGGAAGTGTCGCGCCCAGTCGACACTCGCACGGTGGCGGCGGCTCGCTCGCTCGGAGCAGTCGATTCGGAGCAGTGTGTTGGCAGGCGTTGTCGCTCTCGCGCGTCGACGTGTGTACGTAACGTTGAAACGCCGCGTATCTTATCCGCATCGTCGCCGCCGCCGCCGCCGCCGAGAACGTCGGCTGGGATCGCGTGTGTCCCGCTTCGCGTGGAACGTGCCTCGGAGGAATACGTACAGTGTATATATATATACGTTCACGCGTTGGCCATCCGAGGCCGAGTCGGATCGTCGGTCGCCGCGAGCTGCGTGTCTCCGCGCGGCCGTTTCCCGCACACGCAGTGTACGCACACCGCGTTCGTCTCTCCCGTCGGTGTACGTCGCTCGGTAAGAGTCGGTAGTCGCGCCAGTTCGACTGGCTCGGGCACCGTCCGCGCGCGCCACGAGCAGGCTCAGAGATCGCGAATATCGCGATAATCCTTCCCCCCCCACCCCACCCCACCCCCCCTCGCTTCCCCACGACCGTCGGTGAGGTAAAGGGGTGACCGTCGTGTTTGGTTGTTGTACCGTGTGGCGAACCGCGTATTTGTACGCGCGACTCGAGGAAGAGAACGAGGACGAAGAGGAAGAAGGGACTGTCCGCATCAGCCGTCTGGCACGTTTGATCGACACGTAACATCCACACATCCAAGCACGCAGCCAAGTGACATACATAAGCCAAGTTACGCGCGCGAGCTGTTGTGCTTTTTCGGTACAAGATAGAAATGCTGTCCGGCCGCCGTCCGCCCGCGGTGATACACGGCACGGGCTCGTAGCGCAGAGCACCGTCATCCGCCGCCGCCGCCGCCGCCGCCGCCGCTGACTCGTGCGAATCCGTCGCGTCCGCGACGCGTCCACGTCGTCCCGGCGTGATTCCCTCGCTCGGCACGCGGCGACGCGACATCCCCGTCCCGTTCTCGGCTCGGCCCAGCCATTCTCGTCGGCGTCGGCGATCGCCGCCGCGGCGCGATCGCCCCCGTGGCGTGGCAGAAACCGGCCGCCGTCTATCCGCGCGCTCGTCCTGCTGCTCGCGCTACCTCCTCGGGCGCACCACGCGGCGGAGCGCCGCCAGGCCACAGGTAACGGACGTCGCGCAAGAGTAGGATGCTCAACATGGAAACGGACAAGATTATCGACGACGCGAACGCGAGCCTGCAGGTGAGTGAGGCGCGAGTCGCTCTACCTCCTCCTCCTTCTCCCCCTCCTCTCCCTCTCTCTCTCTCTCTCTCGCACGCGCCAAGAAAAGGGGAGAGGAATAAAAACTACCGCCATCTTGTGCCCCCTCGCGACCGTTCAACCGACCCATCGAATCCCCGTCTCGTGGCCGTTCGTCGGCGTCGGCACGTGTCCTGCTCCCGACGGCTGCTCGCAACTGAGGAGCACTGAGGAGGCTCCGCTTAATCGCTTACCGAGGCAAGGGAAATCCTCGAATAGAGTCTTTTAAACGGGTCTTTAAAATCCCCTCCCTCCCCTCCTCCCCGCACGCAGGACCTCTCGGTTCTCGGTCGGCATCGTCGAACCGTCTTGTCACCGTCAACCGACGTCATGTGACAGTTGTCATCCCGACGCGACGGCGGTGAACGGGGCCGTCCTACACACATCACGATTATACGGGCGGAGAATCCGCGCGCTTTCGGGGTTATGATCTCCGGTCGCTCCGCTTGCCCTCTCCGATCCCCTTCCGAAGGAAATACCCGGAGCGGGTAACTTCGTTTCTCTTCAAATGCGGAAGAAGACGCGACGGCAACCACACGGTGCGACAGGCTTATACCGGTGTCCCTCCCCCTCCCCCCCCCCCGATGGCATGTTTACACGTCAGGAGTCGGAAGGATGACGGTTCTGCATTGCCGTCATCTCCAACGGCGTGTAACGGATGTCCGTCGCGGCACACTCCGTCGCGAGGTTCTCGTCTCGGGGAGAAAAACCGGGGATTGTCCTCCCCCCCCCTCCCCCTCCTCCCCGCCGCCGTTCGGGGGTACCCCGTTTAAAAGTGTTTAAATCGCATGCGGATCCTTGGCGCGCGACGCCTTTTATAGGTCGTCGTCGCGACCGCGACTCTCGTGCGCGTCGTGACGTATGTATAACGCACCCGGTAGGTGTTACAAATGTTTTGACACTAACTCATTAGACGGCCGTTTTTCCTTTTCGCGCCGGATGGCGTATATATCTCGTCAACCTGGTTGACTTGGTTCTCGTCACGGCAGAGGAAAAATAGCCAATCACGCTCCGTAACGCGGATGACTCTGCGCTTCATGTTTATATATACTTATTTATATTGTATAGTACGTTCGAATCGATTTGACGTTTTTCTTCTCTTCGCTCTGCGCCGTCGAAGGATGACGATTTCTAATCGCGCTTCTCACATGCCTGATGGCTCTTACAAACCGCCTTCCTGCCTGCGGGGCTCGAAGGTCCGTATGTTATATTTCACACATTATAGAAGGCTCATTCATTTTACTTATGCTTTTCGTATCTGTGTTCTTTTTCCTTTCGACGCCCGTCCTTTTACACATCGAAGCGAGATAGATATTTATTTTGGAAATGGATGTGTGTGTGTGTGTATGTGTGTACATGGAGATATACATATGTATTTATACAGAATGACATACAAATCAGGAAATCGTTGAAATTAAATGGCTGTCACTTTGCAACGAGTAGGTAGAATGAAATAAATTATACTGTAGAAAAAAAATTCGTTTAATAAATATAAATAAGTATATATTTTAATATAAAATAAGAAGCACATATATTACTTAATACATTCATATAAATATATTTAAAAAATATATATAAGTATTATAATAAAAAAGCGCCAACAATTCGGTTGCTTAGTGATGAATGTTTTCGAATGATGATGATTATTTGAACTTTCATGATAATCGAGGCATTTTTTAAGTATATCAAATACATTTTTTAACATTAATTATGCAAAGTCATGTTTTTGGAGAATTTCAGATAAATTCCTTTCCTGGAAGTGGTCGCGATCATATCTTCCACACACATCAGACAAGCCTTCCGGCTTTTTAAATGTATTTTTATGTATTTTTTATGTATTTTTACAAGTCTATGAATACATTTGTGCTTCGCGATATAATAATGACGCTAATAAAAATAACGCTAAAAAAATTTCTTCTGCAGAATAATGATCAATTGATTTTATTCTGTTTATTTATTACAAAATAACAGCTATTTAGTTTCAGCAATTTTCTGTTCGTCACTCATATGTATATTGGGACATGAGTGTACGAAATTGTATACGTGTATTCATTGGATACAGAAAACACTAGAGTGTGCAAGTGAAATAAACAGGAAACCTAGAAACGCAAGAGGAAATGCACAGCTGGAGAACGGATAAACTCGACAATGTCTCGCGGGTGACACGTCGCGTCGCGTCGCGTCCGATTAGTCAGAATCCGATTGTCCCGCGAATCAGGTCGCTGAAAAATCGATATTTGTTATAATCGATATT